CTATATCTATCTTTTGAGCTTCTCGTAGTAAGTGTTAAATGTTCCCAAGAGTCGCATATCTTGTAGTAAATAAAAACGCCTTGGAGAAAGATTTATACTTGGCGTTCGTAAATGATCTAAGAACGTGTTCAAGTACGTGGAACAACTGCACGCGCCATTAAGTCTGAAGAAACTCTTCTCTCTCTTTCTCTCTCTGTCTCCCTTTTTGCCTTCGAACTCACATAGAAACATTAACGTCAATTTCAAATCGATCTCCATGTCGCAGTTCGCGTTTTCGCAGTTCATTGCTCCGTAGTTCTCTTCCATTCGCATTATCCCCAAATCATATTATTTGTGTATGTGAATAAATGTATATAAGGATTACAACACACATAAACATATATATATATATATATATATATATAGACTACAATACAAGTAACATATACAATACGTTTTATGTCTACTAAAATATAAATATTGATAAGAAATTTCAGGATTGTTCAAGGAATACTGTTCTAAATGATTGTCTGTAATTTGCTATTATTACAATTGTGTTACTTCGATTGTTTTACAAATCAACAACAATTCGTTTCAAAATTTAATTACAAATAAAGTAATAATAATAATTATTACACACGGTATTTTAAAAATCATTTTATCGAACTACAAAGTTATACTTCTCTTTTTAGGGTAGATATTTTGGAGTGGTATCAAGGAGTACGATATATTAGAAATAGAAAAGATAGTAAAGTATAATAAAATTTTGCAATAATATTAAATAACAACAAAAATCGGATACAATAAAATAAATAATTAATGAAATTAATTAGGTTTATAATTTGGAAATTTCGTATTAAAGCTTACGTTGATACACATTGTATGCATAATTAGTTTATAATTACGGTTATATATACTTACACACTTACACACACACACACATATGCATATTTTATCATATATACGATTATATAGTCGTTGGATTTGACCGGAACTGAATAGGCGGAAAACGCGCGTTCGCACGTGTAATCGATGATTCCATTAAGCTTCCAGCCGAAATGCGGATTTTATGTCTTTCTGTTTGTAGTTCATTACACGTTGGCCATTGGTGAACGGGCTTCAGGGAATGGACGTGCGTACGTCTAACAATAAGTGACGGATTAGCCAGACAAATGAAAACTGATCGCTCCAATGCGTTTTCCGATTTTCCTCGTGTGTTGATTTTTGGCAACGTTTGTTTCCTCGCGAAAAGTTAAAAAACAAAAGTTGCAGGGAAAAAGAAAAATGAAAATAAAAAAGAGGGTTTATGTGTTAAAAGTGAGAGAAATAAAGAATCAAAGAGTGTGAGCATATATGTGTGCGTGTGAATGCGTGCATTTATATGGAGAGAGAGAAAGATAATATAAAACTGATACTCATCCTCCTACCAACTCTCTTTTCTCTATCTAAACGCAGAATGTGCGTTTATTCGTATTGCTGATCAGAAGTGAAATCGTTACGCGTGAATGCATCAATGGTTTCATGTTAGATTGTTAGATCAATACAAAATACTAGAATGCTATTTTCTAAAAGATATTCAACTTACTATCTTTTCCGACCATATGACTTTTATCTGGAAAAATATAAATCCATTGAATTTTATCAGTCACGTTATTCCGCAAATTTTCTTTTAGCTTTAGTTGTAACTCAATAGTGAAACAAAGAAAAAGATAGAGAAAAAGATAGAGATAAAGTATATAAAGTCTGGCAATTAGTTTAACATACCTTTATTCATCATAGAGTATTATAATTGATAACCTGTATATATAAAAATAAATACCATTGAAAGAATGTTTCAAAGGATTGTTTCTAATTTCTCAAATGCTTGATTTAAATTTTCAAATATCGCTTGCGGCTCTTCCTCTGGTAATGCTAGGAATCAACCTGTTGTTAAATCTCTATCGACCATGACTATGTATGTGTATACTTATACGTATTTATGCATGTTTTATGGTATTAAACACAGGGTATTGCGAAGAATAAATGGTGCATTATATTAAAGTAGATGATTAGCCATGACAATTATTGATTTTTCTATTTCGATTTTATCTCTTCTTTATCATTATTATTCTTCAGATTATATTTCCTTTTATTTCGAGCACCAATGTTATAATTACTTTTTATTGATTTAAGTTGAATCGAGTTATATCAGATGAAAACGATTTATTAATTAGATCATACTAATCGATATATGTAAAGGTATACGTGTACCGAGCTATTAGAATAAATCTTACAATTTTAGTAACAGGAAGAAAATTTTCAGGAAGAAAAAATCATTTGTTGTTACAGAGCAAGACTTATACTTGCTATATATGTATATGTCTTCGTTTTCACTAACGTATTACATTTCACATTTAGCTTTTTGTGAAATTGAATTGATATAACTGTGATAGCAGAAGGAATATTCTCATAATTAATATACTAATACCGTCATATCCCTGCTTCGGGAGAAATTATCTTTCGTAATTTAATAGCAATACATCAATCGTGTCCGCAATTTCGTATTTGCTCGGGGCAAATGGTGTATCGCCATACATCGTGTTCGGAAAATCAATTTTCATCGATATTTCCTCTATCATCTACATGTACACACACACACACACACACACACACACACACACACACACACACACACACACACACACACACACACACACACACACACACACACATATGTGTTATAGATATATAAATGTGTATAGATCTATAACTAACCAACCAACCCGATCAAGGTGGATTGCTTTTGTCCAATCTTGTCATCGTGCGAGAAAGGTATCACCATAGTAATGTTGTACTCTCTTTATAGTACAAAACGCCCATTGCATACTTCAATGCGAATAGAAATACAAATGTGGATATTTATAGAGGAACTGGCATATTACGTTCACATGGATGGTCCTTGAAACGAGTGCTCGTTAGGTACTTCTACGAAGAAGCAACGTTCGAAGTTAACTGAAAGCTCGTTCGTTGTGCTATTGCAAACGGAGTGAGTCAGGTAACTTGTTGTACTATGCTAACTGCTGCTTCGTTAACCGATAAAGATATGTACAGAGAAAAGTTTTCTTAATGCACATTTCAGTCATATCTAAAGAAACATAAATAATTAATATAATACGAGAAAAAAAATAAATAATCAAAAAGAAAACAATAAAAAATAAAAAAAAATAACTCTTATTAAGGAACATGGATAAAAATTCGAGAGTAAAGTATAAGCTCATTGAACTCTGACTTTATTAGATAAATTGTCTGTTTGAAATGTTTATGAAACCTTCCGGTTTCACGTGTTACTTGTCCTATCTAGGTAGCATAATTAAATACGCCAGTGACGTTTTTAGTAGCTTTTTTATTGATCCTTTCTCCCGTGGGTCAACCAAACGTTTGACTGTTCATTTCTGTCTATCTTGATTATACGAGTAGGAGAAAAAAAAATAAAAAATAAAAAGAAGGAATTGGAAAAAAATAATCCATGGGGATTATTTGTGTATTTAGCTTAATTTTCGATACATTCGAAAGCCATCAAAATTGTTTGTATTCGTTATAGTGTTATAATTATTATCAAATGAATAAATAAATATGATCTTTTGATTAATCAGATAAACCAAATTGATTCTCCTTTGTTCGATCAAGTTTGATGATAATTTAAAACGAATTTATATATATATTACGTATATATTGTACATGAAGAACTACAAATATTGAGGTCGAAATATAATACTATAAATTAATCATTCTTGAAAGATATTACGGAGAATCTCGATTATCCGCGTTAATTGGGATACAAGAGAATAATAGCCTTTCTTTGGTTATCGGATCATTCGCCATTGTAGGTACTATTACTCTTCAGTTGATATATGATCCAGTAGAGATAAATTATTCATTATGTTAGCCACCGTTCGAATAAGAATTTTTCGATTCGTTTATAATCCAGTCTCAACCTTCGACAACCCTTTTCATGTGTACTCTCGGTAATTCGTGGAATATCGACTCTCTGGTATATTCTCTTCTATAATCCACTCGTTTGTAACACGATAAAAGCTATATAAACGGATTAACGAGGCTTATATTACACGAGAAGGATAAACGAAAGACGTGAAAATGCGTTCGATCGGAAAACGAGAAACCCTTTCGATATCGCGCTTCGATATGCTCTCTTACTCTTTCTTCAGGAAAAAGAATTCAAGCTGTTTTTTTCCTTTTCTTTACTTCCTTCTTCTTTTTTTTTCTCTTTTGGTTTTTTTTTTACAACAAGCTTTCCTTGAGAATCTAGTAAGAAAAAGTCGTTTGAGATTTCTTCTCCTTCAGTTTTTAAGTACCAAAAGGGAGAACGAGAAACAGAGAGAAAATCAAATCGTCTTAAGGGAGTTCAAAGTACGATAAGCTGAAAGATCGGAAGAAATTCTTAATTTTTCCTTTCTTTATATAATACTTATATTTCTAATTTCGATTCGAGCCCTTTCAATTCCTCATTATTTTTCGATATTCTTCCAATGATATGGATTATAAAATATATCAATCAATCAATCAATCAATTTAATTTAAAAAAAAAAAAAAGAACTATACCGATACGTGAATTAAAATTTGATTAAAAATATCATACTCATCTAATGATTCAGAATGGAAAAAAACAAAAGATGAAATTTTTGAAAAGTAAAGTAATTACATTATCAATGCGAGAAGTAAATTCAAAGTGAGAAGGTAGAGAGAACCACAAAGAGTTAATCAACCTTGTGAAACTCTAGAGAGACTTTATCTTCTTGAAAGAAAAGAAAACTTTTCATTTGCCATAGGAAAAAATAAAAGAGACAGACTAACCTAAGCTTCGATTACTACTTCTTGCATTCTCTATCCTTGATATATCTATAAGATAAAACTTTTTGTTTCTTTATTTCTTACTTAACAAATAAGAGGAAAAGAGAAAAAGAAACAGAGAGAGAGAGAGAGAGAGAGAGAGAGAGAAAGAGAGAAGTAGGTCCATACGTTACCTTTTTCATCAGTTTGGCAGTGACCCAAGATGGAGGCCGTTACGGCTAAGAACATTAGCAGTCCCATGTCGTTGAGAAACATTAGGCTCTTTCGTAGCTTCTTCTCTTCTTTTATCCAAGAGTTTTCTGGTATAATGTAAGATGAAAGAGTACAGAAAGAAAGAAAGAGAGAAAGAAAGAAAGAAAGAAAGAAAGAAAGAAAGGAAGGAAGGAGAAGAAAATTTTTTCTAAGGAATAGAGAAAACGGCTGGTTTTCTAAGGTAAATACGTGGGGTATAGGTATAGATAGGTATGTCCAAGTAGTAGCACTGGCTATCTAGAGCTAGCTTTTGCTAGAGTTAGCAGGCGGTGGCTGGCTCTTACTGGATATCGATTCCGCGTGACGTGGGTTACAAAACGCTGTTTACAGCTTCTTCTTCCTCTTTTCGCGTTCTTTTTCTTTCCCCTTGAACGTGGCACCATGAGCAAGTACGAAAGAAGGCTTAAGATTCGAGCGTACTTTTCTCATCCATTTCACTCTCGGCAGTGGCTTCGTCACAGGCGTCGTCACAGGCGGCTATTCGTGTCTGGTTGACACACACACATACACGAGAGCCTCTTTTCAAACTTTTTTCCTCTGTGAATGTGAGAATCTTTCTTTCAAAAAACAAAAAAAAAACAAAAAAAAATAGAAAATCTCAGTAACACAACCACGTTTGATTTTTGCACGAGAGAAACAAAGGAACGAGTTTTTCTACTTTTTATTTCTCCTCTCTATTTAATCGACCATATAACAAAAAAATCAAAGCAATCTCGAGAAATACGCGTGTTTTAGAAATATTTCGTTGGTAAATTGTAGTTGTTGTTGTTGTTGTTGTTTTATATTTATTGTTTTTATTTATTTTTTGTTTTTCGTACTTTATTTCTTTGTTCCTGCTCAAAGCACTATCCACATACTATCGTTATACTCGATCAATTCTTTCGACATGTTCTTGCTGTGAAGCTGCAAAAGTAATGATGCTTGGGATGTTTCTCGAGTTGCTGGAGATATCTGTGTCGGTGTTAGAGATACACTGTTGTTAAATGTGATGGTTGTTCCTCGTCGATGTTGTCATCGTCTCTCTCTCTGTCTCTCTCTCTTTCTCTTTTGGCGTCTATCGACGCTGGCATCGTTGGGAGCACACCTCTATATCCAACGGCGAGCTCGGTCGATTCTCTGCAAAGACCAACAACGGGACACGGCACGTTTTCGTTTTACCACGATCGTCAGGCCGACAGGAAAACGAGAAACAACACTACTACTTCGGATAACGATTCGAAACTCTTTCTCTCCCCCTCTTCCCCTATTTCTTTCTTTCCTTTTCTATCTAGTGTTATGTTACTTTTCTATTTTCCTACATTTATTGTCTTTGACGATAACAATTTTGTCATTTTAAAAGGATTACATTTTGATAGATTTTATTGACAAGTAAATCCAATCAGGACAAGCTTGCATATGAACGTAAAAATTATTTTCGAGAGGTTTCCATACATTCTCTCTCTCTCTCTCTCTCTCTCTCTCCTATTTTTTCTAACTATTTTTCTCTTTCTATTTTGCTTGGTATTACTTTTCTATCCTCCTACTTTTATTGTTTTCAGTCGAATTAAAAATGAAAATGTCGTCACTTTAAAAGGCATATTTATTGACAAGTAGTAGATCAAATCAAATACTAGACGAACTTGGAAAAGGCACGAGAACGTTCTTTCTCTCTTTCTCTTTCTAGAGCTTTTCAAATACAATTTTTTCGGTTTACTAGAAAGCTCGGGATACTTGTCCCTGATTAGCGGAGGAAAATGAAACTCTCTTGCGAGTCTTTTCGAGCTTAAGCTCCTACTCGGATTTACCCCCGTTTTTTCGTTGGATCTCATTTGCAACGAGCGACAAAAACCGACAAACAAAATGTTCTTTCTCTTTCTATCGTCCACCAAAGCGTATAACTTTCTACTTTGTGTGTGTCTGTTTTTTCTTCTTTCTCTTCTTGTTTCCCATCCTTCTCGTAACCTGATCACACGCCAAACGCAACTCGGTGCCAGGGAAAAAACACCAAGCTATATTTCTATTCGACGAACGAACCGAGCGCAAAACAAACCGGCAACCCTTTCTCCTTCCGACCGGATTTCCACTACTCTCTCCTTCTCTCTCTCTCTTTCTCTCTCTTCCTCCCTCATATAGATATATACTATGATCCATGCTCGAACAAATTCGCGAGCGTGAACCGGCTTGTTCCACTCCCGAGACTAAGTTACGTACGTGCCATGTTCAATAAATTTCCAGAGAATGAAATAAAATAGGAAACAAACAAAAAATGGGGTAAAAGTACTTCAATTGTATCCCATTGGTTATCGTTTTTATATTCTTTGTTAAATAATTTTCTTTCTTTTATTTTATTCAAATGCATATTATGATAAATTACATTAACGATTTTTTTCAATTTTCCTTTATTACGATTTAAAAATTACATTATATTACAAAGTAACTGGATAATTTAAATATATAGGATGAAAAGCTTTATAAAGAGTATTTCAGTATTTTTTAATTATAATATTTTTAAAACTTTGTATAAATTAATTAAATTACTTTATTATATAATAAATTATGTGATAAGAAAAGTTATGATTATAATCGTTTTTGTTTTTTTATTACTTTAGAGAAATTTAACTATAAAGTAACTGTATTTGTTTGAAAGTTTTCCAAAGAGATTATCGACATTTACTATTTATCATATTTTTTGAAGCACTTTTACAATAATTTAATTGTTTTGTTTGAAGAGATAACAAAAAATATATTCGTATTTGTTTTTGTCATGATTTTAGAGAATCTAAATCAAAAAGTAACTGTATCTTTTATTCAGAATGATCTACATGGATTATCGATTTCTAACAGTTATCCTTTAATAAATTTTTATAAAAAAATTATTTCTTTGTTTTCTTTTAAAATAAATTAGAAATTACGTTGAATTTCTCGTTTACTATGATTTCAAAAAAATTAAATTTAAAAATAATAAGATAAAAACTGTAATATATATATAAGAAAATATGGATTATATAAATTTATAAAAGATAGAAATAAAAATATATATCAAGAAATATGATTATCTTTAATACAAATATTTTATAGAGGCTTAAAACAAATTCTCTTGAGTCTTTCCAAGTTGTAATTTTGTAAAACAAACAAAAACGAAAATGTAAGTTCGGGTAATTTAAGAGATCGTAGTTGAAAGTAGTGGAACTTGATGAGTGTCGAGGTGACTAGAACGAGTTCGAGAAGATGAAGATGAAGAAGAAGACGAGAAACGTTTGAACTCAAACGATCGATGCCACACGGTACATTCGCAATGTTTCGTAGAAAACTCTTTCTCTCTAGATTTAAAATAAATAAAAAAGGAAAAAGTAACAAGTTATTTACTAATTTCATTTAAACTATATTTAAAAAAAAAATTATGAACGATATTAACTGAGAAAAAGAGATAAAATTGATAAAAAACAAACAATGTGTGTGAGATTACTAGAAAAAAAAAAAAAAAAATAGAACAGACAGAAATAGTGACCTAATCAAGCTGATCTTTCTTTTTTATTCTTACATCATGACTGTTAACGTTTAACAAAAGAAATTTTCTTTAAACTAAACGTACGAATGACGGACAATAATTTGGAAGAAAAATTGTTCATTGTAGACAATACTTAATCGTTTACCACGTTGTATAAGCATGTACCTATATTTGAATATCTTTCAAATAAGTATCCCTTAACGAAAAAAAGCGAGAGCAGAAAAAAATAAGAAGAATGAAAAATATAAAAGGGCTGATCCCCTTTCACACGGCGTTTTTCAAAACGTTCACGTTTTCCAGCTGCTAGGGAGAAACCGATCCGCTTCGGAAAGCGGATTCGAACATGCGAATGTTACTCACGTCCGTCGGAAATGCAAGTTCCCTTTATAAGGTATTCGGAGTCGGCCGTTTGGCGACACGAAGAAAAGCTTTTCGAAAAAGGGGAGGCTTTTCTTAAGGACTCGTAAGAAAGAAATAAAAAGAAAAAGTGAAGTATCTTATTGTAAAGATCGGGATTGGATAAGAAGAAGTTACCGGTTGGAAAAAGAAATGTCTTTGAAATTCTATTCATCCTTACTTTTTCCTTTCTCTATCTCATCATATTTTTCTTCACCTTTATCACGTTCTATAGTACTTTACGTTGGCGTTAGTCGTTGACGAGTACCTAAAAGCGTACGAGACGGCGTTAGTATCTCGAATCGCGTTGTACCGGCACGTAGGTGAGTGCAGATTTTCTTAGAGAAAAATCAGTTGAGAGAAAAAGAGAGAGAGAGAGAGAGAGAGAGAGAGAGAGAAACACAGGGATGTTTCGTTGATGAGAAAGGAAGCTCAAGAGTATAAGAGAAAGAAAACGTGGCCAAGAGGTTCAAAATTTGCATCCTCGTTTGGACCGTGGCCGTTCTCTCTATCTTTCTTTAGCTTCATCTCTATTTCTCTCATTTCATCTTTTTCTCTTCCTCTCTTTCTCTCTTACACTACCAAGCAGTGAGAAAGTCGAGGACCCGTGTAATGGCTCACGTAGGTGAACCTCTGCACGCGGTTGAAATTTAAACCACCAGCAGCACCACTAACACCATTACAACTACCACTACTAGTATACTGACAGACATCATCACGGGACATACACCAGCACAAGCACTATCACCTACCCTCTTTTATGATACCAGTTCGATAGAAAGAGAAATAGAGAGAGAGAGAGAGAGAGAGAGAGTGAGAGAGAGAGAGAGAGATAGGGAGAGAAAAAAATATATAGTACATGTAAGATAAGTGAAAGGAAGAAAAAGAGAGAGAACCCTTCAGTTTCATTTCACAATTGGGAGCTCGAACAAAACACGTTTCACCATATGTCTTAGTTTAGTAAAGAGAGAAACGAAGAGAGATAGACAGACTAGTGACTTTTCCTTGTCGATTTTATCTAAAAGAACTAAACTTGCACCTGGTACCTTAATGCACTAATACACGCTCGTTTCTTCTTATCTCTCGTTTGCTAGGAGAGCTAGAAAAAATTGATTGATTGATGGATGAACGCTTAGAGGGTTAGACAAAAATAGATAGATAGATAGATAGATAGACAAGAAATAGTGAGTGATAGAGAAAAAGAGAGATTGAATGAGGGAAATATATTTAAGAGAGATAGAAGAACCTCGAGGTTCGACCGGACGACCCTCGGTCTTCCTCTGCCGCACGACGACTGAATCTCTCAAGGGGTGGACCGGGGAGGCTGCGCGCAGGGCCGACCCCGCACCTTCCAGAACCCCTATCCACTCCTTCTCTTTCTAACTGACAGCCACCGGCCAGTGGTGGCGCCGCGACCAACTGCGTGTATGTTGAGATCCTACGCCGACGCCGATGACGCCGTCGATGACGACCACGACGACGACAACGACGACGACGACGACGACGACGACGACAACGACGACGACAACGACGACGACAACGACGCCGTTGCTACTGCTACTTCTCTAGACTTTGAGTGTCCAACTTGTATCATGTAGATTGTTTGACCCCGACAGTTGACCGGAGATATCGAATTCGGTTCTTCATTCTTTCGACACGTTATTTTCAAAGCTTTTCCTATCGAATTTTTTCCCTTTGTGATGCTTTTTTACAATTTATATTGTTTCTTTTTTACGTTCTTTTCTCGTTTTTTTTAAAATACATTTATTGTGTATGCATTATTATTTTTAATGAATATATACATTTTTTTGTTACATGAGACAGTAAATTATTTTAATATGCATGCTTTTGTAAACTTTGAATAGTATATTCAAGCTTTTTGATTCAGAATAACGTCAAGAGTATACTGTTTCAGTATGGACATCAAGTTGCAGAAAACTGTATATATATATATATATATATATATATATATATATATATGTGCTTTTTATATAATTTACTCTCTATTCCTAATAATTGTATTGTATATTTTAATATATGCACTAATGTGTTTACTAATTAATTTTTTATAATAATTGTAAAATTAAGATTTCTTATCTTAATATTTGGTTTTCAATAATTCGTACTTGCTATGCTCACTTTTTGCATTTTATCGTTCTTACAATTAGTCTTATTTTTTCGTATATTTAAAATTTTTATTTTAATTTGTACTTTGCATTTCTTAGCAATTCTTCTTTTTTGAACGAGAAAGAAATCCTTTTGAAAGATATGCAATGAAATAACTCTGTTATCTTCTCTCTCTTTATAAAACTGAAATCGTGATTCATAAAAGTAAGATATTATATAGAATATTTTTAATTTCATAATAACCGATTTATATATTATAATGTAAAATAAGTTTAAAATTAATGAACATATCCATTTGCATATTATATTGCTTCTTTTATCTTACCATTAACATTTTCATATTATATTACCTGTTTTTTATATTAATTTTTTTTTATTGGCTTATTTTATTCTTTTGCTAGATATATAATGAAATAACTTTCTTCTCCTCTCTGATTAAAAAAATTGAAATTGTGACTCGTAACAAGAATAATATATAACATATTTATTATAATGAATTTATATTCTAATCCTTGATTTATATCAAATTAATTCAATTTTCATGTTAAATTCCTTTAAATTGTTTTAAAATTGTTTCTTTAATTTTTCTAGCTACTGTTGATAATTTTAATGGGATTTTTATCCTTTTAAACGTATAGGTATTTAATAAAATAATTTAAAAAAAGGAAATCAAAGTTTCCTCACACCTATGTCTACAGAATTGGTTTGGCAGTCGTGTTAACTTTTTTCATTATTGCTAATCGATTTAAAATTGATTTTTTTGTAATGTTTCTTTTTGGTTTGTGATTGGAAGACGTAGATATTTAATAAAAAAAAAAAAACTTAACAAATTTAATTCTTTTCAATAAAATTACACATCATACTGAAAGTGTATGTGTTAATAAAAGTTTTTTCACAGCGCATAAACACATCCATACACACAAGAGAAACTTACTTGAGTTAGTATAGTTTTTCGTCTCGGTAATAGACGATATATACAATACAATATCTTTTATTTTCTTTTATTTTTACTGTTTGAGTTCAATCTAACTTTTTCTTTTTCTTTTTTATTGAAAATAACATATGCGATCCGTATATATAAACTGAATGATTTCGTAAACGTTCTCAAAAACACATTGTGCTATTAAGGGGTAACAACACTATAGATTCTGAAAAAAAAGTCTTTTTTTGGGAATTTTTTTTGCGATAACTAAATAAAGAATAGAATTTCTTTTTTGAGGGTTGATTAATCATGTATTGAACTATGTAAACAATTTTTTTAAATTGATTTTAGATAGAAAATCGCGTCTGTATTCGTGACTGCAAAAAACCCTGTTTTTTTTTTTGCTAAAACGAGCGGACTCATATCTGGACAACTGTAAGGCCTAGAATAAAAACCAAAAGAAATTCTTAATCTATGTACTATTATCTTGAGAAGTACATACGGATTTTTCCCTAAATCAAATTTTGTGAAAATAGCGTAACTTTAGAACTGTAGAAAATACAACTATCTAACTATCTTCAAAATTTCAAGTCAATCGGTTAAATGATGCTCGAGTTCTGAATCTGCTCAGATTTCAAAATTTTCGAGTACAAGTTTCGAGAAAAACGCGTTTAAAGTGTTGTTATCATTATTCGAGGCGCTTTGAGGCGCTTTGTAAAAATAAGATTTCGCCATGTTAAAATTTTTTTTTGCTTCGGGACCATGTGCATATTGTTTTTATATGTATAAAGTACACTTTAAGCTTAAAAAAAAAATTGATTTTTGAAAATTCTATAGTGGTGCTATCCCTTATTGTGTACTGAATTGTCCCATCATATTTTAAACGTTTTGTTGATTAATTGTATTAAACCGTCTCAATGATATTTTATTCATTGTTATAATGACAAAAGCATTGCTTTCAATAAATGATATCAATGTGATATATGTACTTCAAATTAATAGTAATTCTTTCATCAATGCAAATTCATCGTCTCATATACACAGGATATGTTGAAATAATAATATTAACTATACGTTTACTATAAATTATAAGATATGAAAAATGTAAAAGGAAAGTATCACGCTTGCATTTTATCTTCACGATTCACTTTATTTCAAAGAGAATTTGTAAAGGCAACGATGAGTTTTCAAATATTTCACATCTAACATGTGCTCAGCTAGAAAATTGTTTTTAACTTCTATAAAAGAATTTATTTATATCTTTTAAATATTTATAATAAATTGTCTTTGTTTTTTTTTTATTTACTTTTGTGACTTTTTTTTATTTTGTAATTGTTTTGTATAAACACATTCTATGTATATATAGGGTGATTCTTGGAACGGAGGCGGGTAATAACTTTTTTTTAGGTAACAATAGAAAAAAATCATAAAGGAAAAAGTTATATTGCATAAATACATTACTGATATAAAACTTATAATATCTCGTAAACTATTGACATTTCGATGACCTTCACTTAATACTTTTTAACGCAGAATAAAAAAAGGAATCCAATAGTATAAAAAAAAAAATAAAGTTCCATTTAAAAAAAAGTGCAACTGCATCTAGCGGATGCATCGATGCATTTTCAAAAAAAGTAGGATCATAAAAAGTTGACATTTGTTGTGCTATATAACTTTTTCCTTTATGATTTTTTTCTATAGTTACTTAACAAAAAGTTATTTCCCGCCTCTGTTTTAAGAATCACCCTGTATAAAACTTTTCATCCGGAAGGAAATGCAATAAAATAACTTCCTTTCATTATAAAGAAAATGATTTTGTTAATGATATCATTGGCAGAGAATACTTAATGGAGTAAACGTATAAATTTCTTTCGTTTATTCAGAATGTTTGATTTCCGGATTGCGTAGATTCGTTTCGTTCAGTTGGAAAATGTTCGTACCCTTTTGCAACCCTCTTCGTTACCGGCACCGGATGGCGATTTAATAAAGAAGCTATGTCTGTAATTTAATAAAAGATTTTGAGAATTAATTCGTCCAGGCGCTTGAATAACGTTACGATTGAATTTCCCTGTCCAGCCGTTTATCCAATGGAATTTCACATTCTGGAATATCGTCAGTATAATGGTATTTGTATATACATATATATATACCGGTAATATTTTCGTATTTTCAATATATAATTTCTCATGGAAAATCTCTAGCACGCTTTCGTGTTTTCGAATGGAGAAATCCAAACCGGCTTAAGTTTTATTCTCTTATAATAATCCTTGTACGAAATAATGGATGAAATCTGTGTATATTTATATAATAAAAACTTTACCGAAGAAGGATCTAATTTAAAAACGAAAATTTTCCCATGTTCTAACAGAGGAATTGTTAGAAATTTGATTGTTCGAATTTGATAATATAAAAATGTGAAAAAAAAAAAAAAAAATCTTCATACTTTTCTATTCTAAAATATTAAAAAAATTATTGCAAACATTGTTCTATGTTTGATTTTAATGGAATCGTTAGGCATTTGTTTATTTTAAATTTATGAAAAAAGAAAGTGAAAAAAACAAAAGAGAAAGTTTATATTTTATTATTAAAATATTTGAATGATACTCAAGATGATTTGAAGAAAAAAATAAACGAGAATTTTTAATTAAAAGTTTTTCAGAACTTACCTTAAAACTTCTTTTGAGTATCTTGGATTGCAATATTTACAATTTTTTATATTTCTTAAGGGACTTCTATTAAATACAGTTTCAATTCATATTATAAATCTTTGTTACCATTGTTATTACTTATTTTATTTAATTGTGCTCTTGATTATTGATTGATCATTAGTCATAAATCCTTCTTGATCAGAACAATTGATCTGCAAGACAATTGTTCTACAGTACTAATCATTTCAAAGACGAATGAATTGTGAGCCATAATTAATTATATGTTTGAACTATAATTACTAATATATCGAAAATATAATCAGTGATATTGTTTAAACCATAATCATGATTATTGATTGATCATTAGCCATAAATCCTTCTTGATCAGAACAATTGATCTACAAGACAATTGTTCTACAGTACTAATCATTTCAAAGATGAATGAATTGTGAGCCATAATTAATTATATGTTTAAACTATAATTACTAATATATTGAAAATATAATCAGTGATATTTTTTAAACCATAATCATTGATATATTTCAATCGTAATCACTAATATAATTAAATCATAACTATTGAT